TATAATTTCTGTCTATTCGGAAGTTTATTTATACAAACACGTCACTAATTGCATTGTAGTCACATCGCGATCACAATCGTATCTCAATCAATCAGCCCTAATCTCATCCATCATATCTCAATCAATCAGTCATATCTCAATCTAATCAATCATATCTCAATCAATCAGCCCTAATCTCAATCATATAGTTATGCGACTACTTCAGAGAAAACTAAACACATATATTTCAGTTTGAAAAAAGTAGATAATACGAATATTTTACGAGATTTTGGGACTTTGGGTAATGCATGGATTTAAGCAGGCTATCAATAATTGATCCCTTACAGAAATGCTCTATAGAATCCTCTAGAATATGCTATAGAATATTCCATATCCTATAGAATATTCTATAGAACTTTTGATCCTATAGAATATTCTATTGCCATATTCTATAGAACTTCCAGATCCTATAGAATATTCTATTGCACATCCATATGAAACTTCTCAAATTCATTAATAATTCATCAGCAATTCAGCCAATAATAATCACCTATTTAATCACAAGATGCCATTTGGATACTTGATGAAAGTCACTAGTGTTTTCATGAAATATCTTAATTACGTATGCAAAATTACTTGAATAGAATTCCTAATTACGTTATGCTTGGTTAAGAATTCTATTCAAATCAGCAAACTAAAACATTCTGTTACGTCTCGATTCATTTGAGAAGCCATATAAACAACTCGAGCTCGTGTCTCACAGGGATATCCAAACACTCGAAAACAAGGTATGAAAACACTCGCGCTTTGCGCTCGTGTTTTCATACATTGTTTTCTCTTGTTTGGATATCCCGGTGAAACACTCGCTCTCGTTGTTCATATATTACATCTAATAGCATATTTATCTGTTATAGACCTGAAACGAGGGGTATTCCACAAAAAATTACCCTGAGGGATGAAATATTCCGAAGGCGAAGCCCGAGGAATATTTCATCCCGCAGGGTAATTTTTTGTGGAATACCCCGAATGAAAGGTCTATAAATGGTATATTATACCGAACCTTTCAAAAATAAGTAGAAAACAAATACCATTCAATTAACTTTTAATTTCAAAACACAACTTTTGATAACTTTAGGCGACGGACTAAGTTCAAAGTCGAATTTCCCGCTCAAGCGTGGTATTCGAAGTCGAATACCATGGCCCCGGGTAAAACACCCAGGGTTCAAATTGCCTAGCTCATAGTATTCGCTGAAAAATACCATGGTCATGTGGTACAAATTTAGTTATCTGATTGGACAAGCTCATTGTGAGGTATAATATTCTATAGAATATTTTCTAATGAAATAGTATATAAGATATTCTATAAAGTATATCATAGAATGTTATAAACCTATTGACTTAAGCCTAATTTATTATTTATACTTTAACAATATTATTGTGTCCCAAATGTTTACAGTAAACTGTACACAGCAAAAAAAAATATTATAAGAAAAAATATCGTGATTTTAGAAAAAATAATTCCTAAATCTTCTTCATGAAATAAGAAATATCTTCTAATAATAACTTAATTATTTTTAGAATAGATTATATTTGTTTTCTTTAAATAAGATGTTTTAATATTTTCCTATATAATATATAAATTATAAGATATGATTTTCTTTACAAGCAATAGTTCGCGCATTGACTGGAAGCCTGGTGCCTAATTTACGTACAAGGGTGCGAAGCTTCATGGGAGAACGAGACGTAGTGCGCCAAAATGGCTGCCAACCTAGTTTTTAAGCTCGTCATTTTTTTAATATTTTTGAACTTCTCGAGTCAGTTTTTGGCATTTAGATTGTTTAGAAGTATTGTTAAGAGTAATATCTACAAAGAGTGTTATGGATTGAATGAGGATGGTGCGATTTCAACGACATACGAATCGACTTTTTTCGGACAGAATGTCAATATTCACCGAACAAAATATGATTCAAAATTCAAAGTTCAATTTGCAGTGAATAAACCGTCTAAACATGGATCTATTTGTTTAGCACTTCCTTCGAAACCTTTTAAGGTTGATCTGACCATATGTGTTGACGTATCGCCAAATTCTGGTCCTGAAACATCAAAAAGGATCAATTTTGGAACGGAAAATTTAATCACCGTCGGAGCGTCGTCACGGTCGGCCGCCATCACAAAGATTACATACAAGCCTACATTTATACGTAGTCTTCGATTCTCTCAGTTGGCCAAATACATCGACGAACATACATATTCTCTCCTTCGTTATTTTGAAATCCTGAAACCTTATCGCGGCCTACGTAGTGGGACAAAAGTTAAACAACGAAAATTGCTAATAACATTAACAATAATGTAATTAATATTCATCCCGTGTATGGTCGACGAATTTGCATATCTCAACCAGCTACAGACCTACGTTCACATATTCCGTCGAATTGCGTTTCTATTGTTAGTCATAACTCAACCGAGCAGCAAACTCCTTGTATAAAGATTGCAACTCCAGAAACTACATCAGTTTCAGACTCTGCCGACGCGAATCCGCGTAATATAGATGCTTCAACAACAACAGTTTCTCACATTTCAACAAGACGCCATTCTAATCCCGGTTCGAATCTTAAAATAGTTCATGTAAACATTCGTTCATTGCGTAACACAGATCATCTCATTCAAGTCAGAGAATTTGCTAAATCTGAGAATATAGATGTGCTTACCATCTCCGAAACCTGCCTAAACTCGACTGTAACAAACAAAGAGATAAGTATCGATGGCTACAAACTACACAGACTCGACCGTTTACATAAGAAAGGAGGGGGAGTTTGCTTATACATTCGGAATGACATTAAGGCAAATATTTTGAAAGATATTTCGCATATTTCTGACTGCAATTTCCACCAACTATGGCTACAACTTCAGTATAAGAAGTTAAAATCACTCGTGGTTTGTGCAACGTATCGTCCTCCCGACTGTCCACTCACCTGTCTCCAGTCTTTTCTAAAGCCCAGCTATATTACAGCTCTATCAATGAACAAACCCATAATCATCCTCGGTGATCTTAACTGTAATACACTAAAAGAATGTCCTGAATACAAGACGCTCACTGATATTTCAATAGAATTAAACCTAACCCAAATTATTACCACACCAACCAGAAATCAGAGACCGCAGCCAGTCACTTATTGATGTTATTCTCATTTCCAACCCTGACCTGGTATGCGACAGTGGCGTCATCGACACAGCGATAAGTGACCACCTCCCGTCTTCGCCACGTTGGAGTTGAGACTACCCAAGCCTCCTTCACGTTTCATCACTGTGCGCAGTTTTAAAAACTATGACCCTTCGTTGTTCTCTGCTGCCCTGGCCTCCAACTCTAGCAACTTGTTATCCATATTTACTAAACCTGATGTTGATTCGAAATTAGCAACATTCAACAGTGTTCTTCTTTCCACCCTTGAAGCTCATGCTTCTGTCAAGCGTATCAAGATCCGTAGCCGTCCTTGTCCCTATGTCACCACTGAAATTAAAGATCTTATGAATGCCAGGGACCAAATACTTCGCCGTTTCAAAACTACACGTGACGACAATGACTGGCATATCTATAAGGAAGCTCGGGAAACGGTAAAAACCACACTAAGAAACGCAGAGAGAAACTACATCCGTAATGAGGTACAAACTCACAAAGAGAAACCGGGTTGTCTTTGGAATATTATTAATAAAGTTATACCATCCAAAGAGAGACCCACTCTAACATACGGTAAAGACCATAAATCGGTAGCAGACGATTTCAACCAGTTCTTTTCGTCAGTAGGGAGAAAAACAGCTGAAGAAGCTACCCGGCTAGCTTTGGAAAATAATATTAACATTTCCACCGCCGGTCTTCCATCCACACCACTTGGAAATTCCCCTGACGACCTGTTCTATTTCCGTCCTGTTACCTGTACAGAAGTACAAAATATTATTCTATCTATGACCTCCAACAAATCTCCTGGTCTCGATAAGATCAATATGCGGGTCATTAAAGATTCGTTACCAGTTATTTTAGGCCCCCTAACAGACATAATCAATTGTTCCCTCAACACATCTACATATCCCAAAGCATGGAAAAAGGCTGAAGTTATACCTCTGTTAAAAGATGGTGACCATGAGCAAGCTTCAAACGATCGCCCTCTTTCGCTTCTACCCGTTGCTTCTAAAGTCTGCGAGAAAATTGTGCTCAGTCAATTCAACACGTACTTAACGAGAAACAATCGTTTGTCCTCCCACCAAAGTGGCAACAAGAAACACTTCTCCACAGAAACACTGTCTATTTTTGTGAATGACACTATTTTGAAAGCGATGGATAATAAGAAGTTAACTGAACTTGTGCTTATAGATTTGTCTAAAGCATTTGACAGTGTCAATCACAATATCCTACTTCAAAAATATGAACGCATCGGAGCGTCTAAACCGTCATTGAGATGGTTTGGTAGCTACCTAAATGGACGATCACAAGTAGTACGTATTGGTCCAACTTCATCTTCTCCCCTTAACCTCAGCCACGGCGTACCGCAAGGAGCGATACTTTCACCCTTACTCTTCTGCATATACATGAATGATCTCCCACTACCACCACGCACTAGCTCCCTTGAATCATACGTTGATGACTCCAAGGTTTTCCTATCCTTTCCGATTAAAGAAACTACTTCCACCAAAGCGAATCTGGAAGAAGACCTTTGTCTTGTAGCTAAATTGTGTTTGACTAATCATTTATTGATCAACCCAGAGAAAACCAAGTTTCTGCTTATTGGCACACCCCAGTTGTTAAAAATATTACCTTCGTCAATGACTCTCTCATTCCTAGGTAAACATATTATTCCTGTGTTCAGTGCAAAAAATCTG